AAGAGGACACCAGTTGAAGCTGGTCAAACATCGTACATTGAAGAGAGAAAGGCGAACCACTTCTCTCACAGAGTGGTCAACGCCTCGATAGGTTTCCTGATGAGGTTGTCTCGGTGTACACGCTGATTGAAGTGAGACGTAACCTTCCTAAAAAACATATTCAGTTGTTGGTGATAGCCATATCATTAGATGAGGCGTCAAAGCTAGATCTGTGGAACATGACACAGTTTAGTACATACGTTTGGAAGTATTGTGAGCCATTATTTCTTCCTTCATGCCCCTATGATCTCGTTTTTTATTTGACCCATTCTGTGGCAGTGTAGCAGTGTTCACTTCCTCAACGAAAGCCATATCAGAACACATCTTCAGCTCCGAAGCTGGTTTTTAGGAACAAGACAAATTTTGGTATAAATGTATATCAGTTTTGTGACCCAATCATCCCCCGTGTTTAGAATTTTGTAAGCCTTTTGCAATGCTTCTCTCCTTCTCTTCTTTGCTGGTTTCCCCCCAGACTGCCGAATTTCGCTTTCCTATTCCAGACCCGGTTAGTTTGGGCCTAACAAAGGCTTGGGGTCTACACCTGCAATGGACAATTTGGCACCGCCAATGGTTGTTGGGCGCGGCTGTATCCACCGCTCTGACTACATGCGTCCGCATTCCCGACCAGGTGGAGGAATGCACCCCTGCCTCACCTACAAGGTGTTTTAGGGTTGGGTGCCTTGCGTGTAATCGGTCCCACACCAAAGCGACCGAAGCCTAAATTACCTAAATAACCCAAACCATTTCATTGCTAATTGAAGCCCCTAAAGACATCGAATGAGATCCTGCAGAAGCTAACTGTGTAAAAACATAGTGAATAAATGTATTTTGGCAGATACTTAACTCCGTTCTGTTTCATTTTATCCTTTCTTGCACCTGTTTCCATTATTTCCTGTCCATCAACCTGCCAGCAACTTCTCATTATTCTACTCATTGATTGTCTTACGTCCAAACATCTCATCGTTCATCTGGTATAACGATTCCGGTTTTTCTGTCCTAATTCCACTAACACGCTTTGCCAGAACACACTCCATTTTCATCTGTGACCTTGTCCGCTTTGTGTTCCATATATATCGCAGCGTTTACTTTATTTCAACTCTCCTAAGACAGCAGAGCACAGCGAATCTCAATTATCTTTTGCGATTTTCTTTGTGTTATACATATGATCATGCTTATACAAGCTTCAGGAGGCTTCTTGAAATATGCCTTTATTACCATTATTCTTATTCTTATTTAGCTTTCCCAAACACCGCGTGATAATTGAAATAGTACTGAATATAGAAGTACGAGAACCCATCCCGCAATGCTCAGAACTGGATTGGCTCCAACCCGGACTGCGGACACCAATGAAATACAAGGGGAATTGATAACAGAAAATGCTTATTTACTGATAGAATCACAGCGTGTTTTATAGAAGATAATGAACTATGTGATTGGTTGAAGGACCGTTGTCTAAACGCGCTGCCGTTTGCGCCGACGCATCATATGTACTAACTCGGATGTCATGTTCGCCCGGTGTACCATTGGCCGAGCTTCCTGAAGGGTGATTGGATGACATGAAGCTATATCTGGTCGTGCCTGGATTGCGATCACGTAAGTCCGGATCACCAGAGCTTTCTTCCTTCAAGAGTGACTCATTAGTCTGGCTAAACCTGCGGACTGCAATCGTTGGCTCCGACTGTTCATGGTGGTGTCCTTGCGTTTCGATTGGTTGTGTCTGCGCATCTGAACAATGCGGCTCCGTTAGGTGTTTTGACCGGGTTTGCAGCTGATTGTCTCCCTTTCTTTCTTTTGTTGCCGATGCTCCGTGGATGATTTTAAGTGGATTTGGTCCATGTATCACTTGTGCATAGTAGCATCATTCAAGTCGGTAATTTCCACCTTGGCTTGACCCAGTTGTCGTGTGACTATACCAGACGCAGGTCGCAAATCATTGCCACGGAAGAATACGACGTCACTGGAGGTAAGGCACTGTAGGGAGAATCGCAAGCCTCTGAATTTAAAAAGCTTTGCCAAGCTATCCTTGGTGGTTGTATGTGTTGCGTTTTCCTATTGGAGTAGGAAGTTATCTACCAGCGTTTTCAATTCACGTAGCCTTTTATGATTGGCAGAAGTAATTGCACTCTTGATCGTTTTGACTAAATTCTCTGCCGTTCAGTTCGAACAGGAGTAACGTCGAGCAGTTTGAAGATGTCGGAAACCAATGCTGTCCATTTAAAGCTTCATTTCAGTCGTACGGAACTGAGATCCATTGTTCGTCACAAGCGCTTGNGCAGACGCAATTGCACTCTTGACAGTTTTGACTAGATTCTCTGCCGCTCCATTCGAGCAGGGGTGACGAGGCGCAGTTCGAAGATTTCGGCAACCGATGCTGTCCATCCAAAGCTTCATTTCGGTCGCACAGAACTGAGATCCATTGTTCGTCACAAGCGCTTGTGGAATTCCTTCGCGACTAAAACATTTCCGTAGTACTTGTATCACAAATGATGTGGTAGGTTTAGTCGTGAAGAGTATCCCTGGCCATTTGGAGTAAGAATCAAGCAGAACAAGGGTGTAATACCAGTTAAGAAATGGACCACGAAAATCCAAATGAACATTTTGCCGTGAGATGTAACGTTCTGGTCATGGTGTCTAGTTTCTCGCCCTTGTTCGTAGTTTATGTAAACATGACTCACAGTTCTTGACTATTGCGCAAATTTATGCGCCCAACTCCGTCCACCAACACATCTGTCGAGCTAATGATTTCATCTTGTTCACTTCCATATGTCCTTTACGGAATTCATCTAATACCGTCATCCGTATTGGCGGTGGGATTACCAGACGATCGTCGCGACACAACACACCATGCAAATGCACTGACCACTCCTCTCTGTGAGCAAAGAGTTGAGAATACTTTCTCTTTATGTTTGGTGACCACCCTATCTTGATCGCTGATAGTATATTGATCGATTTGTGAAAAAAATATTTTGTAAAGCCCAGTCAATCTATCTCGGTTCTACGTTCCATTCACTCAACACCATCCGCCTCATACATATATAAACATTTGACATCCCACTCCATTAGTATATTTACACATCGATCCCACCATTTGACTTTGTTTGTTTACCTGCTTCATTCACGACCTGAGCGCTCACATTTGGCTCGTTTATGTGCAGCGTGACGGTGAGCGTACAGTTCTTATCCAGGCTTATTTTCTTCCGTTCATATTTGTTGAATTACGCTCACGGTAACACTTGCCTCTTGTTTTCAAACTGTTTCGAGATCACTTAGAGGTTTGTACAAATTTATCTTTGATCGTCTATTATTGCAGTACTGTAGAAACTTGCTGGATCGTTCATTTTGTTGACGCTTAGGGATCCGCTTTCGGCTACGCGTTACTTGTTGATCTATTCGGGAGGCATAGAGAGTATAACCGAAAAGTATTGCTTGGTAGATTTGCGTAAAAATGCCTGAGACACTGGTGATGCTGAGGTGATGGGATGACAATGTTCGGCCTCTGAAAATCGTGAGTAGCGAGAGAGGAAAACAGTCTGCAGGATTGTTTTTCCTGGACAATGTTGGATGTCGTAATTGTATGCGACTGGAGCGGTGCTTCACCTCAGTAACAAAGCAGCACCGGACTTCGGGATGGATTTGTTGGGGCTGAACAAAAACTGTTGCGCTTGGTGTTCAGTGATGATGATAAACCACAATCCGAAAATGTACCTGTGCCATCGTTGATTAGCCCAAAATAGAGCCAACGCTTTCTTTTTGAGTCCTCGAGCATCCCTTTTCAGCCGCATTTAGTAGACGTGAAATGCAGATCACTGGGCATTCCTCTTGTTTTAATACAGCACTGATTCCGACGTCGGACGCATCGGTGATTAGTATGGTAGGTTTTGATGGTGGAAACGCGACCAAAACAGAACGATCAGTTGCTTATTGGATTAAACCACGTAAGATATATTCACACTCCACCAACTATTCCCAAGCGTCTGAACACAGCACGGAAATGTGATCGCGTCCTTGTAGCAAAGTTCGGGATAAATCGCGAATATTACTTTAACCATCCCATCACGGATCTCAAATGCGTTTGATCCTTTGGAGATTCGATGTTACTCACTGATTTGAAGCGTGTAGGATCAGGACGATATCCACGGGAATCAACTGTGAATCCCAGAAACTCCAACTTGCTTACACCAAAAACATTTGGACGGCTTGATGGCTATGTTCGTGGTGACGAAGCATTCCAGTAGCTGCTTAAGACGGGCATCGTGTTATTTCTCAATAAGGCCGAAAATGAGGACGTCATCTTGATACGCAAGCACACCGTCGAGTCCTTTGAATACACTGTCTATTGACGTTTGAAAGAGTCCAGACGACACATGCAGTCCAAATGGGAGAAAATTATACTGGTACATTCCCCACGGCGTGTTGATTGTTGTCACGTAGCGAGATTCGATTGGAATCTGTAGGTATGCGTCCGCCAAATAGATTTTGGAAATATACTGGCACCAATGCAATGAATTTATGAAATCGTCTGCTTCCGTGGTGGTCACTGCACATCTCCTCAATCGGGAATTAACGTCAATCGATAGTCTTCACAGATCTGTGGTGTCCTACTATCACTTTTTATCGCCACGACAATCGAGGTCGCCGAGGCACTGGATCCAAGTTTACTTATCATACTATCCTGTTCCATTTTCTGTAACGCTTTCAGGACACCTTTCCGTTGACCGTATGGAAGAATGCGTCGTTTTAGGAAAATAGGTTCACCGTCCACTTCCAACTTTACCGATGGTACCTTCATGTCACCAACGTTACCGGAACATTGTACAATCAAGTGTTGAAGATGTGAGGTGATTGGCATATCGTTGTTGGTATGTAGCGTGATTGATCCTTGTAGTTGCCGCATTGCTGGCAAGCCCAGGATGGACGGATTGCGGGTTGGTACCAGGAATCGGATCGGGATTGACACACCGGACTCAGATTGAACGCAGAACACCATTTCGCCAGTTATTTGCATTTGATGACCGGTAACCCCTTGAATATGCACTGAATTCAGGAATAGAACGGCATTATGACAAATAGTAATGAATGTTGATTTCGGCAGGATAGATTCGCTGCTTCCTGGGTCCATGATGAATCGATGCTCCACACCAGACTCGAACCTCAATGGGGCGAACACAGACTCTGTGTTGGGTTCAGTGGTTTGCAACATTTAGATTGGGTTTGAATTCTCATCTACCGTTTGGATAAGGGAATCGATGAGGTTGCACTTGAGCATTCGGCATACCGTGCGGATATGGCTTATCTCACCACATGCATGGCAAGTGGCATTACGGAATCGACAAGTCGAACGAATAAGGTGTTCACCACATGAAAAGCGGCGATTGGTAGCAGCCTTCGGTTGTGTTTGGCTTGAACTGGGCACTTGAGGAACCGGGAGTGAATTATGAACGCTGGGTGCATAGTGTAATGGTTTCGTTAACTGCCGATGGAATAACACAGGAATATCCGCATTTGTGGCAGCAAACAAATCGTCATATGCTCACGGTAATGGCGTGGCATCCCTCCTATTAGGTTCCCTAGAAACGACCGATTTTGATACGCATTTTAGAAAAAGTGATGCCGAATTTAGCGGAAATGGAACAGCTTTTGTTTCTGACTGAACTTGAGTTATTTGTTAAAATTAAATTTGTTTTAATTAAGCTCAACTTACCATGTCCGGAAATTATAAATACCGCAACTTCATGGCGGCGATCTTTTCCACGCTCATAGCAACCACGGCTCGCGTCTACGATAGCAGAACAACTGATACGAGAGAGAAAGTTTGGTGGAAAACTTACCCTGCCTGAGGCTTTTCCCTACTATTTCATCAAATATTGCTGTGTACAACCAGGTGATTATCTCCCTCATTTCTTAGGTATCTAGCCTGTTTCAGGCTGCTTGTCTGGCGTTCTTTGGAATTCGCGCGGTAGGGAGGGAGTACCGATTGATGGAACGTTGTCTGGTGCACAACCATAACATCCATGTGAGTGAGCGGGGTTCGTATATAAGGAATTGTCGTCTATCTGGAGAACAAGAAGTGTGTACTTTGATGGACACTTTTAGAAGTACTTGCGAGCCAAAGGATTTCGGCATACCCAGGTTCAAGAGAACCTTAACTAAAGTGGTTATTAGATTTGTACGTCAAAGAAGATCTCAGTCGGATTCACGTGGCGATGCGGTGAAAGTTCTGGATATGCTGAAAAATCAGGGAGAGAGACAGGGCTGAACGAAGGCGTCGTTCGTCACATATATTTTGTTCCTAAGATTATGCTGCATTGCGTCGACAGGTTTAATGACGTTTTGTTAGCGGACGTCACGCATCAACTAAACTTTGGCGATTATCTGCTTTGGCATGTTATGCTTGCAGACGACACCGGTTTAGGTTGAAGGTTCTTCTACGCTATCTTACCGAATGAGAGCGGTGGGAGCTATAAATCTGCCGCGGGAGCCATGAGAGCTATGTGTTCAACCTTTACACAGTGCAAGACTATGGTAGTTGATCGTAACTTAGTTCTGTATAACGCGTTTTTAGAATAGTTTCTTTTCTCTATTAAGGTATTTTGTCGTTTCCATCTGGCTCAGGATATGAAGAAAAAATGTTACCAGCTATCTGGTATGCTAACGTTCGAAAAGCAGTGCATCTTTTAGTGGATGCCGAACATTGTGTAATGTGATAGTGATGTGTCGTTTCGTAGATTCCTAGCCGCCGTAGAACGTCGTAGCACAAAAGAAGGTGTTTATTTACACCAAACTTGATTACAATACCGAGAGCAGTGGGCAAGGTATGCCGTGAGGACTAGGTTGCCCTCAGAAAACCTAACTACCAAACGAGTGAAGACGTAAAATAGGCACATCAAAACAGGCTTGTCTCATTGATCTTCGTTAGTGGATGTTTTTAAGAAAGTGCTACAACGAGTAAGGTCACTGAAAGTGACGTATGGAATTCGCCTTGCTAAAGATTCCATGAGGGGGTATCCGACCACCAGTGGGATGCAATCGCTTAAATCGTTGCTCATACGAGTAACACCATTTTCACGAAATATATTATTAAGTAACTGGAAGTCATATAAGATTGAACGGAGCATTCAAGAGAGTGGGTTCTTCATGGTATTAGATAGTAGGAATACAGGGTCATAAAGTAGTAACCTCAGGGGAAACGAAATGTGAATGTCATTTCTATGAGCAGTGGTTGTTGAGCTGTTTGCATATAGCCAGGGTATTTGATCCGTTTAATTGGGATATTCATAGTCTTATTCCAGATAGATGGATTATGAACCGCAGCGAGAGGCGTTCAGATCAGAACTCTACTGTGGTGATAGCAGCCTCACGGAATGTCATGCGTAAGACAGCAAAGTTAGCTCCAACACAGGATGTCCTTCACGAGCTCGGTGTCTTTTTGATTAGTTTAGGTACGGTGCACTACGACTTTTAATGCGATGAACTTCGACGTGTAACAGCTATGATAGGAAGTACTCGGACATCCAGATATTATTTGATAGACAGAGGTTGGCAACAGACTGCGGAGAGTAAGCGCACTTGTCTTCCGTCTACGCGCGTCAATGTAAGGTCTCATAATCAACCAGTAGCTTCAACAAGCGGTTCGATAGAAAAGCGGAAATCAGTTTCAGTGAGTAGCGTAGTCGACAGTGATGACGACGAAATAGTGCCAGGTGACCCACTGGAGCATGCTGTTTTCCGAAGACTGAAAGCAACGACATCAGCAAAGTACAAACTGGACGCTAAACGTAGGAGACGAAACAATCCGGCATCACCGATTAAGGAGAATTGTTGCAGTGTCTGCAAATCTGCGTGGAACACGGTTGATTTGGTCAATGAATAACAATGGATCGAGTGCCAGAAATGCGGGCGATGAACACACACCAGTTGCGCTGCTTACAGTAAAGAGCGAACATACGTTTGTGTGCATTGCCTCAGTCAATGAGAGTGGATGTCAGAAGCCCAGACTGACCGAAAACGGTCATTTTAGGGGCATGTTAATTTGATTTATTTGTCTCCGATTTATCGATTCTGTACAGGGGTTAAAAGAGGGTATAGATCTGGTTTCCTTTTGAAAGCCGACTTTTAGGGGCATTAACTACCCCTTCCTGGAGCCCGTTCCAAAGAGGCATGACCCTTTGGGTGAAAGAGCATTGGTGGACTAGTGTATGGGCACGCAAATTGAAGAGTTTCATGCCATGCCCACGAAGATTATCCATACCAGTGCGCACAAACTAGTCGTCGACTTTACCGGACTCGAAGAGGTTGTACAGTGGGTATATGTCACCTCTTATCCGGAGGGTTTCGAGAGAGTACAGATTCAGGATGAAAAGTCTTGAAGGGTAAAGGTTGGAGGATGCGTTTATTAGGTTCAAAGCTTCAAGTGATCATGGAGAGATTTAGGTTATTTAGATTAATTAGGCGTTGCTCGCTTGATATTGGACTGACCACACGCTAGACACCCAACCTTGAAACACCATATAGGTGAGGCAGGGGGGGGTGATTCTCAACCCGGTTCGGAATGTGGACGC